AGTGTATGCATGTATCCGGAGACTGATTACCAAGTATTCTATTGTCCATCATGTATGAGGCTCCATTTGATTTGGCAGGACGGTCTCTGATTATGTTATCATCCTCCCATTCTTAAGAATTATGAGTGTTGGTGCCAGGAGGGGTCACACCGTCTCAAAATGATGTATTTCCAAGTGTTGGCTCCGTACTAGAATTATATTAGGTAGAAGAGAGAAGAGAGGATTTACATTATTGGTTTATTATCATCCTAGTCAAACTCAATATATGCATTGTGTTTTGTTTGTCTGATTGGGAGCCTGTTCAAAACAATCACCAAATTGACGAATACTTTGTTTTGAGATATGATTTTTAAAGAAAGAATGAAAATTTATTGTTTCCGAAAACGTTGGTTTCTAAAACTGATGTTATTTCCGTGCATAAGTTCCGAAAACGTCGGTTTTTATAACTGATCTTATATCCGTGCATCAGTTCCGAAAACTTCGGTTTTTATAACTGATGTTATTTCTGTGCATCAGTTCCGAAAACGTCGGTTTTTATAACTGATCTTATATCCGTGCTTCAGTTCCGAAAATGTCGGTTTTTATAACAGATGTTATTTCCGTGCATCAGTCTCAAAAACGTCGGTTTTTATAACAGATGTTATTTCCGTGCATCAGTTCCAAAAACGTCAGTTTTTATAACTGATCTTATATCCGTGCATCAGTTCCGAAAACGTCGGTTTTTATAACAGATGTTATTTCCGTGCATCAGTTCCAAAAACGTCGGTTTTTATAACTGATCTTATATCTGTGCATCAGTTCCGAAAATGTCGGTTTTTATAACAGATGTTATTTCCGTGCATCAGTCTCAAAAACGTCGGTTTTTATAATTGATATTTATATCCGTTCATCAGTTCCGAAAACGTCGATATTGACTGAGTCCCAAATGTAATAAAAAAAGTTGAAAACGATTGTCCCATAATTGGATCAAATCAACAAATGTAGATTCTGTAGGTAAAGTTTAACATTTTAGTCAATTATGGGTCAAAGGAAATTTGCACATTCACACGTTTTCTTTAAAAAGGTTAAGATAGACTTTAGTTTCAATTAGGGTTAAGGTAGACTTTAGTAGCAATTAGAGTTAAGATATACTTTAGTAGCAATAAGAGTTAAGATAAACTTTAGTAGCAATTAGAGTTAAGATAGACTTTAGTACAATCAAAAGAGATATTGAATAGAAGAAGGGGGCAATAGGGTTTCCGTACACTTTGCTGTGACGTTTTTGGACTGCTGAAGATCTAGTTTTTGCGTAACAGCAATAATAAAGATTGTAAACAATAACACAAATGATAAACAGACATCTGGCATCTCTGGCGTATTTATAAAGGGGGGGGGGGGAGGGGCGGATAACCTTGAATTTGATTGAAAAAGGATCTTTTCGTATAAAACTAAAATTCTTAACTTTTTCAATCTTTTTTTAACAAGATAATACTACTTTCACAGTTTACTAACTCATGTTTATTTACAATTACATTAGATCGGCTGCCTTTGTTATTGTTGTTAAGCAAAAACTAGTTCTTCAGCAGTCCAAAAACGTCACAGCAAAGTGTACGGAAACCCTATCGCCCCCTCCTTTTATTCAATATCTCCTTGAGTACAATTAGGGTTGAGATAGACTTTAGTAGCAATTAGAGTTAAGATAGACTTTAGTAGCATTTAAGGTTAAGATATATGCAAAGAAAACATTTTTCGTAACTTCATAAGATATTCTAGAGAATAGAACAAATGTTTAATTTGGGGTCTGCATAAATAAACCAGCGTACACTGTATGTACAGATTAAACCGTACTGCGTGACCCCTTGGATAGAATCAGTGGAGAATTCAATTCCTAGTGTACACTACGTACATATCCAATCTATATACTGTTTTATCTTTGGTTATTTGTAAAAAAAAATTTTGGGAAAATAAATTCAATTTGAATTTTCAAAAAAAGGCGCGAAGGTTTACATTGAAAATATTTGAATATATTCTTGAATATTCATCTTGATTTATGTATCAACGGTTCCATTCCGATAGATAAAAATTTAAGCAGGAGAACTCCTGGGTTTGTAAAACATGGTTCTCTATTAAAGGTTTATTACTAATATTACAACCACCCGGAGAGAAACCTTTCTCACTTCATCCTTACCTTTCAGGGGGTTTCAAAGGGATGCAGGGGGGTTCAGGGGAGTGCAGGAGAGTTCAGGGGGGTTCAGGAGGGTTCAGAGGGGTTCAGAGGGTGGGGGGGAGGGTTGAAAACATTGTTAAACGTGTTGATATAACAGAATTAGTTAAAGAAGAGTTGAAAGGGATGGAATGGGGGGGTTTTATTGTTGGCGTGTGTACACTGTATGGGTATATAGAGCTAAGTATGGAACCAGTGCAGCAGGGGTTTGGATAATAAAACTAGATTTAACTCCCATCCAACCATGAAATACAAAATTAAAGAACTGCCTAGGTTTAAGTGCGGAGAATTAAAGCCATGCTTCTCCGGGTTTAATCCTTCACTCTAACCTCAGTTAATCTCAACAGGGTGCCGTCTCCAAGTGGTATTGAATCACAGGGTGCCAGGGTTGGGTTCTAGCAGAACTCTAGGATTTATCCTGAGGGTTGGTTCTCTCGCCACCCAACCAATCAAATGAATTGACTTCACGTGTGTTAGTAAGATTAAGGTTAGAGGAGAAGATTACTCTCCAGATTACAGATAATTCATTATAAACTCAACTTTAATTATACACTGGGGTCATCTAGCGGGTATTTAATGAATTAAGTTTCAGTTCAATACTTTTAATTTACAGAACCCCTAACCTCTGCCCCCCCCCCCTCCCTCACTTTCCCGGAGTAACTTTTAAATAAACAAGTAATTCCACAATTATCCTTAGTATTGCAAAAATCTTGTGTTTACTGAACACTGTGAGGTTAACCTAACCTTCTATAATTATGATCCTTGCTCCAATAAAAGAGTACGTGCCGGGCTAGAACAAACCTTCTCAGGGTAGGTAGGAACACTGCCAGAATACGTGAGAATTTTACTCCAATCTTCCTTCGGGTTTATTTCTTCATTTTACATTCAATTTGTCTGAGTAAACACGGTTTATAACATTTTGTTAATTAGATTTAATTTATTGTCTTTTAAATTTTTCACTGTACAGTGAGCCCATAAAACCGTGGAATAAAAAGATAATAAGCAATCTTACGAGTATTTGATACTAGTATAGCACAATTAGTTTTACAAGTTGTTTAAACCGGAACTTTATAATGGAAGGAATGGAAGTGATTGGAGTACTCTGAACAAATGCTTTTAATATGTCTATCTTAAATTTTTAAAATTAAGTTTATCATCTTTCAGTTTATAATCTTTCAGTTTATCATCTTTTAGTTTATTATCTTTCAGTTTGTCTTCTTTTAGTTTATTATCTTTTAGTTTATTATCTTTCAGTTTGTCATCTTTTAGTTTATAATCTTTCAGTTTATCATCTTTCAGTTTATTATCTTTAAGTTTATTATCTCTGAGTTTATTATCTTTCCGTTTATTATCTTTCAGTTTATTATCTTTCGTTTATTATCTTTCAGTTTGTCATCTTTCAGTTTATAATTTTTCAGTTTTATATCTATTAGTTTATCATCTTTCAATTTATTATCTTACAGTTTATTATCTCTGAGTTTATTATCTTTCCGTTTATCATCTTCAGTTTATTATATTTCGTTAATTATATTTCAGTTTATCATCTTTCCGCTTAATATCTCTGAGTTTATTATCTCTGAGTTTATTATCTTTCAGTTTATTATCTTTCAGTTTATCATCTTTGAGTTTATTATCTTTTCGTTTATTATCTTTCAGTTTATTATCTTTCAGTTTATAATTTTTCAGTTTTTAATCTTTTAGTTTATCATCTTTCAATTTATTATCTTACAGTTTATTATCTTTCAGTTTATTATCTTTCAGTTTATTACCTTTAAGTTTTTTATCTTTCAGTTTATTATCTATCAGTTTATTATCTTTCAGTTTATTATCTTTCAGTTTATAATTTTTCAGTTTATTATCTTTCAGTTTACAATCTTTTTATATTATTATCTTTCAATTATTATTATATTTATCATATTTTAGGAAAGAAGACTAAAATTTGTACAGTCGTCTTCGTAATCTTATTCTCAGTGGGTTATCCTGCATTTCTCTTTATCGTTATATCAAGTTGGAATCTAAATCCTTTAGTGGTTCAATATCGTTATAGATATAGATAAGTCATGAATATATATTTAAGTATGTTAATGAGCAAAAAGGTTAAAGATACTCCTTTAAACTGAACCTAGGCCTTATCTTCTCCAGGTAGGCGTTCTAGGACCGATCAAATAATACTGGGAAGAAAAATGTAACAAAATATATTTAAAACTCGAAAAAGGATAAATATGAAACTCTTACTGTGCTTATCTTAATGCATCTTGTCTACTGTTTATTAGAGCCGGATAAACAGATCCGTTCTAATCCAGTCAACATGGTTGCCTTATCCCGGAGAAATTATGATAGAATTGCTGTTTCCGAGGATTCTGTTATAAAAAGTTAATGTAGCTGACCTTGCCTTGGGTATAGCTTGTTCCGCCCGCTTATTTCCCAAAAAGAACAACTTGGCGAAGCAACCAAGCGCAGGGACGGGAGAGATTCATCTCTATTTCCAAAGTTATCTCCGAACCATCGCCTCGTCCCGGCCTCTGATTGGTCGGAGCGGAGCTTGCTTGGAACGGCGCCCCACACCAAGCATAAGCACTGCTCTACATCTAACACGGATCAAAATGGCAATTTTGAGCTGGTTTCCCTCCGGCCGGTACGCGCTCTCCAGCCCATGGTAGGTAGGACGGGACGGGTCGCTGTTGGATCCAGGCCTGCTCCAAACTCAGCGGCAAACCGGAGAGGATGTCAATAGCGGTAATTACTTCTGATATGTGTAATTTTGGATTGTGAGGGGGAGCGGTCCACTGGTTTTCCTCGCTCAAACCCCTGCAAGAGTTTGGCAGTTTTGCTACAGTTCCTAATTGATCCCGGAGAGAACCGGAAGTTAATAACCTGAAAATTTTCTCCGCGTCCTGACTCCGGTGGGTTGCACACATATCAAGAGAAACTCAACCCATCCTTGTCCAAAGATAACTCTGAAAATGGATTCTCGTGAAGAAACCAAAGTTGCTGGAATCTGTGAGAGTTTCCAAATGGGCGGAGAACGAAGTGAAATCTCCGCCCTGCAGGCGAGGCGGAGGTTTATGATCACGGACATATTAAACAGCAGCCTAGAGAGCAGAGATCAGAAAGGATTAGATATGCGCCTACTGTTTCCTCGTCTTCCTTTAAACCTTAGCTCCGACCCGGAGAAGGCGGATACAGAGACAGATACAGATAACGAGGCGGAGGAGGATGGAGAGGCGGATGATGAGAAAGGTGAGGTTTTTTCCTTCTCTTTGAACAAAAGCTCTTTGTAAAAATTGCCTGAGATTAGTTCGTCTTAGGTTTCATAATTGATTATGCATAATTTATCTTTTACCATCAAAACTGACAAAAAATCGTTTCCACTATTAAAAAAAACATATCTCTCCCTCTGTCATGCGCTGAACATTAATTAAATCTGAATGATATCTCCAGAACTTAATTTTACAACCTGTACTCTAATTAGTACCTGGAGAAAAACACGTGCTGGGGATTTAAAACTGAATTTAAAGAATATTAAAATCATGATAATGGCAATCATATATTTTAATTAGTATGAATGTAATTTTATCCATTTTGATATTTAATGTTATTTCCCAATAAAAGATTTTATTGCAGCTTTAAAAATTGTTGTCATCATTATCATTTTTATCATAATTTTCATTGTAGATATTGTACATATTTTTTCTTATTATTTCTTCTAATTATCAGAAAGTGTCTGTTTTTAAATTTTTATAGAACCCTGTCTGACTCTAAATAATGTTTTGGTAAACCCTGTCTATCTTTAAATAATGTTTTGGTAAACCCTGTCTATCACTGAATAATGTTTTGGTAAACCCTGTCTATCTCTAAATAATGGTTTTGGTAAACCCTGTCTATCTCTAAATAATGTTTTCTGGTGAACCCTGTCTATCTCTAAATAATGTTTTGGTAAACCCTGTCTATCTTTAAATAATGTTTTGGTAAACCCTGTCTATCTCTAAATAATGTTTTGGTAAATTCTGTCTGTCTATATAAATAATGTTTTCGAGTGAACCCTGTCAATGTTTAAATAATGTTTTGGTAAACCCTGTCTATCTTTAAATAATGTTTTCTGGTGAACCCTGTCTATCTCTAAATAATGTTTTCTGGTGAACCCTGTTTATCTCTAAATAATGTTCTCTGGTGAACCCTGTCTATCTCTAAATAATGTTCTCTGGTGAACCCTGTCAATGTTTAAATAATGTTTTGGTAAACCTTGTCTATCTCTAAATAATGTTTTGGTAAACCCTGTCTATCTTTAAATAATGTTTTGGTAAACCCTGTCTATCTCTAAATAATGTTCTCTGGTGAACCCTGTCTATCTTTTTTCTTTTTGGCCTATCATACGAATCATACGTAGTAGATCATCCAATCTCAATTTTAGGATGTTTTTCTGTTGCACCTATATTTTTATGTACAACCTTTCTGTGTGTCTCTTAATTCTGGTTTGTTATGTTTTAAGTTTGTTATAAAACCTAGTTTACTTCCTTTTTAATCAATCAATCATCTTTTTATTCTTGGTTTTCTCAATTCTCAAACTTTAAGCTAAGTAGGAAAAATGATTTGTCACGAAAAAGTTCCTGACTGCCTCAGGGTTTCTTTTATTAATTAGTGCTTAAATCTTCAGCTAATTGAGAGTACGTCAGTTGGTTTGTCGAAACCATTTTATCAAACCATAATAATGCCACACAGGGACTTTCAAGGGGGGGGGGCTAAGGGGACTCCATCAGGGGCATCAAGGGGATAGGGAGGGGGTATAGGGGTGCTTTCTCTAACACACATGGTTATTCAGGGGCGGGGATAGGGGGACCAGAACTAGGGAAGGGGAGGCTAGGGGAATAGCCAACACTACACAGGGTAATCCAGGGAAAGGAATATAAAGGAGGGTTAATGGATACTCATCCCCGCAGTTTGGACATCAGGGGGATAGAAAATATTGGGTATCACCAAATTACTGGAGACAAAAAATAGGGGATAGGGGGCTTCGTCCATCCCCCCCCCCCCCGATTCCAACTTCTGCACATTCGTTGTAAAAGAAACGAAGTTCCTGTTTTTAAAATTTTAATTTTTCAAATTAAACTGATTAAAATATTAGGAGGAAGAAAATTATGTTAATTTGTTTCAAGGAAACCAATCCCGTTTTTCTTTTTATCCCCCTTATACATAGTCGGGTAAGAAAAACTTTTGAGCAAAGAAATTATTATATAATTATATTTGTCCAACCAGTGTCCAAATTTAATGAATTTGAGTCGCGGCTTGAATCTCACACAAAGCGGTTTCAATTGAGTGCCGGCTTAAATCTAGAAACATTAAAACAATCTTAAGTGGAACCAACCATATTTGAGCGACGGCTTAAATTTAAGCTGCGGCTCAAATTCTTTAAATTTGGCATCCGGTGTTGTATACCTTCGTTATTCAATTCTAATAATCCTTTTAGATCAAATAATCAAAGTTTAAAATATCAAAGGTTTACACCAACTGGTTGCAAAGATATGGGGGTTATTTAAGTTTGTAACAAAGACTCAATTTCTTTGGATAAGTCTTTAAAAGTAATTTAAAAAATATGATTTTTTATCTGGTTAAATTTGTTCTTTTCAAATTTCCAAAAATTTTTAACTGGAAATTTTTTCGACTCAACGTTCAGGATTTTTTGAGTTGAGTCTCTACTTTTTTATTTTTAAGTTTTTAAAGTGTTTTTATGAAAAACGCTCAACTATGGATCTTGAAATTCCTCAAACATGAGATAGAAATTAAAATAATCCCGATCGATACATAATTTGATTATCGTTGTTCCTACAATCCCTGTCATGTTTCGCTAACAGTCCCTTTAAAATAAAACAGGGTTGAGAAAATCCTACAGCATAAAGTAACAACCTAAAATCCCCTAATTTAAATTACTATAAAGAATAGTTCTAATTATTATCAGGTTTTATTCCAAGCTTCCTGTGGTTGCTGTAAGCAACTTAGCAATGCGGTAAACTAAATGCAAATCAAATAAAACTAAATATCAACCCCCCCNCGACACATATAGCCCAAGGACCAAAACTAACAAATGGTTTTTACAACTGCTTACAATTACATGTGGGAATAGTCAGAAGGTTTTAATTCTCCATTATATACGCAATAATCATAAACAAATTCTGAAAACTGCGTAAACGGACTGTGTTTCGAAATTCAAGTGACTCTGTTCTCAAAGAGTTAACGTCCGATTCTCAACGGTACCTTATTTTCTAGCTAGATCGGAAACCATCCTAAAATTTATAATTTTCTGTCAAATTTGAAGATTCAATGCGCGAAAGATCTACGTTCTCTGAACTATAACATTATTGGCTGCAGTTCTGCAATCTACGGTTACTAACACCTTATCTATTGAAAACACCTGCATTTGCTTATCTTTAGTCGTCAATTAATAATTATGGATTAATTAAAGCCTATTAAAAATTAATTCTCGGATTTCATGACATTTATTTCAGCCCCACCTCACATAATATTGTCCTTATATGGAAGTTCAAACCTTAATTTGATTTATGTTTGTTTATGAAAAATTAACGTTTCGAACCTTGCATTTACATTTTACAGCAGTAACACTCATATTTACCAAACTATCATGATTATTTTATCAGGCTATAAACATGCAATACTTTAGTTTAGTTTAGTAGTTTAGTAGTTTAATAGCTTAGTAGTTTAATCATATAGTAGTTTAGTCGTTTAGTTTTTAATAGTTAAGTAGCTAAGAAGTTTAGTTGTTTAGTTTAGTAGTAGTAGTTTAGTTTAGAAGTAGTAGTTTTGTAGTTCAGTCGTTTAGTATTTATAAGTTATAAGTTGTTTAGTAGTTTAGCAGTTTAGCAGTTTAGTAGTTTAGTCGTTTAGTTTTTAATAGTTGAGTAGTCTAGTTTAGTAGTAGTAGTAGTTTTGTAGTTTAGTCGTTTAGTAGTTTAACAGTTTAATAGTTTAAAAACTATCTCTTTTATTAAAATATCTAAAATTGTCTGCTGACAGCCTCTAATCGAAAATATAAAAGCAAAATATATTTGTCAAAACTAGACAAAAGATACGAAACTGATAGATTTAGAGAGAGAGAGAGGGAGTTAAGGGGAGGGAACCGTGTTCCGTTGAAATAATTAATTTTGACAGACCGTGCACTTATGACAGCATACACCCTCGTTCACTTTTTATCAAAATATTATTATTAATTGTTATAAAAGTTAATGCAACTCCACCTAAGAGCTTTTTAAACCAGAACAAGACATTAAAATTCACAAAATCTAAATAAATTTAAATTTTGATTTATCCCAAACAAAATCTGATCGATGGACTGCCATTTTAAAAATCAAAATGGCGTGACACAGCCTCAACCAGATTTATGAAGTTTTTGCAAATTGATGGAAATGGAACGCGGCAACGCCCAGGATACGATTCAGGACAAAGGGGGAGCATTCATCCACCGGCCTAATTCATGCTGATTGCTGGCAGAGCACATGCATTCATCATTTATTAACATTTAAATCTATCAGGAAGGGGAGGGGGGGGGGGGGGAAATTCTAAAAGTTAAAAGTCTTTCTGACACATTTAATAGTTTAAACAAATACAATAAGGATATATTTATATGAACAAAATTAATAAAATATTATTTCTGGATAAACTGATGATTAGATTATTAATTAGATAGATTAGATAGTTAGGATTAGGAACAACACTATGGGACGGGTATCTTTGAATAATGTTTATTTGGTTTATAAATCAATAGAATTTCTATTGAAAATTAACCCGAGTTAAAAATAGGTTTATAGTAATTTTGAGGTTTGGCTCAATTTTCACGGTTAAAATGTTACTCCGAGATCACGTTCTCATTCCTTTTTACCAGGATGGAGAAGGGTTAGAAAGGGACAGAGAAGGGATGATTGATGATTTTTCCAGTACTTTATTCAATACCCGGAGTTTACTCAAAATATTATCTCAATTATGACTTCATATTCGATGTATTTTTATTGCATTAAATTTGACATTTCAATCAAAGTTTTTTTATCACAAGAATATATTTAAGGGGAGGGTCTTTGACAGTAAACAAAAATAGAATTTTTTATTGTTCAATTTGTTTTAAAATACATTTAATCTTAAAAATCATTCAAAATATACATTTGTCAAAATAACTAGAGTTTAAAGTAATTTTCTGACATGTACACAACAAATATCAAAGCATATTAAAACGTGTCTAATTAGTTTTACATGAATAGCAATTCGGTTTATAACACATTGTAATGTAATTTTCAAGAAGAGAATTTTGTAGTCTATTTCTAAATATACTTCTACTTTATAAGTCAAGAGGCAGGTTATTCCATATCTTTAGATTAGAGCTTGATAGTAAATACTGTAATGATCTCAAATTGAGAGTGTCAAGTTGATAGTTATATATATATATATATACGTATATATAATATATGTTTGAATAGCTTGATAGCTTTTTATACGTTTGTATAAAACGCTGTTAAGGAAGTATGCTGTACAAGATAATGAAGAAATTGATAGGAAAGAACACTGTTCAAAATAGTAAAACAATGATATCTACAAACATTGTTACTCAGAGGTTTAAAGGGTATAGTTGTGAATTCGACATGGTACTTCTAAATGTTGATCACTTACTTCTAAAATCTCTTTAACCATTCTCAAAGTTTTATTATAATTGAAGATTTAAATATATTCATAAAGCGTACAATCAACCAAAAATATTTTAAAAGTGTTAAGTTTTGTTACAACTACTGGATAAAACAATTATTTTGGTGAATTGCTATGTAATAACTATGTAATATGTATCTACAGTGAGAACCAGAAAACCATGGAATAGAAAGACGACATTATAACAATACTGAAGTGGATTTGATGTTGTTACAAAGCAAACACTTTTTAATCACTAATTTATCAAATTGCTGTATCTTATGCTCATTGGACATTTTAAGGTTAAAACTTGATTCTAAAAGTCGTCTTTCTATTTTAGAGTTTTCTGGTTATCACTGCATCACTGTACTGGAAGAAAATTAATAACATTTCTATTTTATTTTAGGTCAAGACTTATCAGGTTCGAACCACTCCTCCTCGTCTTATTCGAAGAAACAGAGAAAAGCTCGAACTGCGTTCTCTGATCACCAGCTTGGAACTCTCGAGACATCGTTCGAGAGGCAGAAATACCTCTCGGTCCAGGATAGGATGGAGCTGGCAGCTAAACTAAACCTAACAGATACTCAGGTTAAAACCTGGTATCAAAATAGAAGGTGAAAAAAACATAAAAAGGATTTTTATCTCAAATTGCGCTTCTTGGACAGTCGTAGTGGGTCAAATTCATTGTACATCACCAACACGATTTTGTGACCTCTGAGCACCTCTAGATTTGGCAATAAGCACAATAATAAGAAGAGCTAAATTTGGTGACATACTGCAAAAGAAAATAATTTTTGTTCTTTTCCATAGCTCTTTAAGAAGAGGAAGTTATGATTAAAAACATGTAAAATTTTCAAAAAAATGAAATTTACTTTTTCCTGACTTTTGAAAGGGGTGCCGACTGAATATTTTAAGATGGCAGCAAATAAAATCTTTCAAAAAACTTTCACTCTTGAATAATGCAAATTGAATTTAGTAAAATATTGCCGATTAAATTTTGAAAAATGGCGCTGATGGATTTCACAAAATGGCGCCAATCTAATATTTTTCAAAATGACGCCAATCTAATATTTTTCAAAATGGCGCCCATTGAATTCAATCTGACATCAACTCTTCAGTCTATTATCAACTATTTCATTGTCTTGTACTTGTAGGACAAAATGGAAGCGCCAGACTGCTGTTGGCATAGAGCTGCTAACAGAAGCTGGAAATGTTGCAGCTCTACAGCAGATGTATCGAGGACTAGGCTATTCCTGGCCTATCAACCATCCATCCTTTCCTCCCTCTCTCTCCCCCTTGTCCACCCTAGATATGTATTACAGGCAAGCCGCCGCGGCCCATTCTCTTCAACGTCCTTTTCCTTATAAACTGCTCCCAGGGGGAGGAGGAACCCCCCTCCCACCCTCTCCTCATCCCTCACTTTTCTCATCCTCTCCTCTCCTCCACCCATCACACCTTAGCTCTCACCTACCTCCCCTCTCCCTCCCTGCAGCATCTACCGCCCTGCAGGAAATGACGTCAGAACGGTTTCATTCTCCTCCCTCCTCTCCTCGATCTCCATGTCCCTATCCATCCTCCTCTCCTCCTCTCTCCCTGGTCACATCCTCATCTCCAACCCGTCAAATATCTCCGGAACCTCGGTAATCCAGGAATACAAGTTCTTCCAAGTTTCTCCATGTGTCAGAATAAACAGAAGTCAATGTCGGCGCTTCCTCAGCTCAAGGGATAGGAAACCCTCCTAGTCATCCTATAGCAGGATAAAAAGAGCGCTCATACATCTCGTTTCTGAGATGGTGTAGAGAGCCGACATTAATTGACGATTATAATGGGTTAGGAAGGTTCCCAAGATTCCCGACTAGTCATCATATTAAATTATTCTCATGTTTTTATAAGCTGCTCCAAACCATGCTGCTGACTGTATTATTATTCAGCTGAGATTTTGACAAATAAATTTAATGTTAAATGTTTAATTCTAGGACTATCTTCGTGGGAGGATTTTGAAAATCAGAAAATTGGTAAGCTGTGTATAATCTACACTGTCTATCTGTAAAATTTATTTTGAAACCACGTTTAGGATGGCTTAGTATCCTGGACCTTTGATTGGCAATATTTATTATGATTATGATTGGGAAGGTTTTGTTATCCAGGAACCATTATTAGAAAGGTTTAGTATCCTGGAGTAGAAAGAGTAGGAAGATTTAGTATCCTGGAGTAGAAAGAGTAAAAAGGTTTAGAATCCGAAGATTAGGAAGGTTTAGTATCCTGGAGTAGGAAGAGTAGGAAGGTCTAGTCTCCTGGAGTAGGAAGAGAGGGAAGGTTTAGTATCCTGGAGTAGGAAGGGTAGGAAGGTTTAGTATCCTGGAGTAGGAAGAGTAAGAAGGTTTAGTATCCAAAGATTAGGAAGAGTAGGAAGGTTTAGTATTCTAGAGTAGGAAGAGTAGGAAGGTTGAGTATCCAGGAGTAGAAAGAGTAGGAAGGATTTGTAAGCTGGAGTAGGAAGGTTTAGTATTCGTGAATAGAAAAAGTAGGAAGGTTTAATATCCTGGAGTAGGAAGAGTAGGAAGGTTAAGTATCCTGGAGTAGGAAGGTTTAGTATCCTGGAATAGAAAGAGTTGGAAGGTTTAGTGTCCTGGAGTAGGAAGATTAGGACGGTTTAGTATCCTGAGTATGAAGAGTAGGAAGGTTGAGTATCCTGGAACAAATTGGTTCCTGAATATCTCGTGGTCAGCATCTCTCCTATCTATATATTTGTCTCAGACCACTGGGTTTATTTACAAATATTATTACTATCAGCTTAGTTCTTACTTACTGATATATATAAGATAAACACACATACACGTAATATAGATGAAAGCTATAGTTTCTCTCCTCAACCTATTTTTAAATAAACTTATTTTTCACAAAAATATTCACAAAAGGTAACATACGAGTTTAACAATATCTAAGAATAAATCTGAACTATTTTCTTGCTCGCTTTTACTGCAGAAATCCAAAACTGTTCATTAAAGCCTACCATTGTTAAGTCCGGTTCATTTTAAGAACTGTGCCGACATGTAACCAGCTAGAGCGAGCTGTACAGTACACATACAGATTATACCAGGCAAAACGGGACTGTACACATACAGATTATACCAGGCAAAACGGGACTGTACACCAAATGAACCAACCCCCTCTAAGGAAATTCTAGTGAACTACAAACCAAATTTATGGCATTTGTTTTTTAGTGGCTCATAGCAAGCGATATTAACAAGAATAGAAGGTGCGCCATGCACCACTTAATACTGCCCATTTGTCACTTTTTACATGTATTTTTGGATCCAGAGCCATAAACTTTTTTCTATCGGGGGGGGGGGGGGTGCAGGAGCTATTTCAACGTGTTTCCGTGTTTCTGTGTTTCAAGAAAGATTTCTGATTTCAATTCATATAAAGTTAAACCTGGAACTACGGAGATTTCGAAAAAATTTATAAAATGCCGTCTTGACAATTTTTCTATTGGTTTTATACTGTAATACCTAAATCTCAGTAATTGTAGAATGAGATAAAAAACCATGAAATATGCGGGAATAGTTTTAAAGCGCTCCATATAACTATTCAATTCAAGAACTAAATATCTGCAGTATTCCATCATCAGTAGGCGCAGAAAACGACATTTTCTGAATTCTTTAGATGTCTCCGAAATTATGGATTAAACTGTATTTTGAAAGTTTTTTTTTGCTTGCACGTAATGTGCTTAAGAAATTTAAAAGTAAGAGAAAAAATATATTTTCTACAAACCTTAAAAGATAAAGAAACTTTAAAACGCGTGCAAATTGGATATTAACATTTTTATCATAATAGTACCATATGGTCCCACCCTTACAGATTATAACAATGGTTTTCAGATTCAAGATTTTATTCTCGATTGAATTCATAGGGGTTTTAGGCCTTTTATGTTTCACTCTCTGTCTCTGGGTCTATCTCCGGGTCTCAGTAGAGTACTACAGCTTCTCTCCCCTCTCTGATATACTAAATCCATTCAAGTTTCCGTCCTATCATCATTTTTCAATTCTTCCCATATAGGTAGATTATATTTGTATCAAATAAATCTAATAAACCAAACATTCAAAGATTAATGTATTGTATATACAGATAAATATGACCAAGGTTTTATAAGAACCGATGTTTCTGAAAGGGGTCTAAAAATTTAAGCCGCGGCTCAAATATGGTTGGTTCCACTTAAAATCGTTTTCATTGTTTCAAGATTTAAGCTGGCGTCCAATTAAAACCGGTTTTGGGCGGATTTAAGACGCGGCTCAAAATCATTAAATAAGGACACAGAACGGTAAAAAAATATGACAGGACGGTGTAAGATGAATAAATTATGAATGTAAAAATCTTTTTACTCCAATATTTCTGTAGTTTGTCTGACAATGTTTAGAATATGCTTTAATCATATGGATTATATAAATTTAATAAATTCGTAGTTTTGTTAATTTAGTTTATGTTGTCCTACAAGTACAGAATATTGTGTAAACTTTAGTGTAATTTATAAATGTTTCTACGCTTTAAGTTCAATATATATAATCTTGGTTTTAAAATTTTAAGTTGAGTAGGTTGACTTTTATATGCTAAGTCTAATTTCCAGACAAAGCTGGGTTTCCGAGCTAATATTTTGTAAAGAGGAGAATTCTTCAAGGGAGAGATAAGACGACCTTTAAACCCCTTCTTCATTTACCAATCCAGGTTTGCCGAGAAACCAATGGGTTTAATTTAACGACAATTTCGTTAAAGTAAGTAATACTAGAATCCCTTTTTAGTGCCAATTTAGCTATCTTCAAGTAGACATTTTTCTTTGTAAATCGGATTTCGCGGATTTTTCTGGTTAAATTTCCGTATTTTCAAAAATGATATTATCATTATAAAAATTTATTATCTTTAATCATCCATAAGCCTTCTCTGGGGTCATGTTAGTTGCCACACAAAAATTGGGATCCAATTGGTTCAGCCATTTTGACGTTTATTGGATAATTGGATACAAAAAAACGAAATATCTATACTAGACTCTTAGGGCACTTTGCGACCATCTTCTATTTCAGCTTTAAATTGTGGCTTTATCTGTAAACATCTTCTCTTTGTACATTACAAAACAATAACAAAAAGTTTTTTGCGCATTTTCAAAATTTAATAAAAGTAAAAAACTTTTGGACACAAATTTTTGTATTTTTTAGCATCCATAAACTTTCCCTGGGGTCATGTGAGGTTCCACAGTGTACAGTGTACAGTTTACACTTTGCAGTTTTAACTGTACGTGTTGCAGTAAGCGTGACACTCCGTCTAAAAAACCTAATTTGAAGCTAATAAAAGGGTAAATACTAGGGAACCTACTGCAGCAGGGGGGCGGAGAGACTAATATCCCTGTAGTCATGTCGCTCCTCATAATTCTTTGTGTCCGTATTATAAATGGAGATAGGATCGTTCGCACGAAATTGCTCTTGTATCAATTATATAATAAACAATTTGAGGATAATGCAGAGAAGAGTTTATGAGGGATATTTCGAGAAGGTTGGGGATGCCCCTCCCTCTCCTCATTGCCCTATCCCATCCTTCTTCTTCTCCTTACAACTAATACTTCCCTTCTCTTTCTCCTCTCCTTCCCCATTTTCTTAGAAAGGAATTGAGTCTTTGCCACAAACTCTGATTTTGTAATCCATATATCTTTGCAATCCAATGTCGGAAACCATAGATATTTCAAACTATGAATCCTGTCAGATCATGAAGTCTAAGTTTGAAATATCAAAGGTTTACACCATCAGGTTGCAAACGATATAGAAATTATAAAATTTTGGTTTATGGCAAACACTCAATTCCTTTCTTAGTTCATCTTGATTCTCGATTTATAAATCATTTTCGAATCTTTTTATTGTAATCTTTTAAGACCTGTGGCATTATCCTTTACACTTACTTAATTTTCCATCCATCATATTCTTTGGTTTTCATTTTTTGTTTTTTCGATGGAAGATCAATACGTTTCTAATATGCTTTATCCAGTTTTTTTCCATGATTTTTACAATAATTTCTTTTTAGATGGACACAAAAAAAACTCAGATTTTCTATTTATGAAATATTGATAGTTCTTAAACAAATATTAACTTTTCAGAATTTGACGGATTTTTAAATTATCATTTTTTTCTCTTCTCTTCTAATTCACTGCTTTGTATAACCCACTTTTCCCATTCTTCATTTCCACGGATTTAGTTATACAATTTGTTGTTTCAAACTAATTTGATTTAAGTATTTCCCAAGATGTTCAACAACTTTCCTCAGACCATTCTTTATCACATAATACATAATACATTAGGTAACCAGAATCATAAAAGCCAGCACTACTCCATTATTAGGTTTTTCGGGTTTATCAAATTGTTCAAAAAATCTGATTATTGTATATTTTTCCTTGGCCAAATATTGGTTAATTCACATTGAGAACTAAATAGAACATGTACATCCAAGAAAAATAAATGCAAAAGCAATTAATTTGTAGTTAATTTGTAGGTTATATGGCTTCATGCGTATGAAGAAATATGTACATAAAGCACATTTCAGCTTCTCCCATGGCCAGCTTTAGTGCTAGCACTTTCAAAATGTTGAAAATTATCTAGAAGTCATGATAAACAAGTTCACTATTTTGATCAGCATATATCTTTAAGGGTTTTTAAATGAGAAGCAAAGAAAAAAATTATCTTCCCATTTTTAGCCCGAAAAATCCATAATTTTCACAATTATGGGATGATATAGTAAAAATTAAGAAAAACCCAGTAGAACCATTTAAAAAAACAAATTACCAAATCTGTTTATGATGATTGTAAGAAAATTAATTGATGTTTTAGAAACTTCTATCTCTAAATCTGACCATGGGAGAAACTGAAATGTACTTTTTGCATATACTTGTCTATGCGCACAGAACTACATAACCTACAAATCAAGCCAATTTTTT